GATTTTACGAATTCCCGATTTTACGAACGTAATATAAAGGTGATGACGTCATAAAAATTGAAGCGAAAGATTAAAAAAAAAAAAAAAACCTGCTCGAATTGTACCTGTTATTACCATGCATACAAAACAACACACCATACAATACAGTACTATGTAATTCTCAAGTGAAGGAGGCCCTCTAACGGGCCTCTTCAAAGTCAGTGTTTTTTATGGCTTCACACATGTGCATGTGACAAATTTTACTCTTTCAAACATCGTTTTCAGCTTTAAAATTCAACATAGTGCTTGATTGTTTTATTGAATGATCAATATATATAATAAACAAGTATCTATGGAAGTTGTGTTGGAATAAAATCCACGATCTAGGAATTTAAGAAGGTAAAAATGTCCGATAAAAACAAATTTGTGCAGGGCCTAGAGTGGGATCAGAATGCTTAGAAGCTGCCAACTGTAGGCCTAGGCCCCCTCAGACTTAGCTGCGTAAGCCTAGCCTAGGCCTAGTTTATGCCAGTGTAAGTAGTATCAGTGCAAATATATAGGAATTTGGGTCAACCCCGATTTTACGAATACCCAAATTTACGAACGGCTCTGGGCCCGTGCTGTACGTAAATGAGGGGTTCTACTGTAGAGGTATATTGTGTCCCAACAGCTGGTACCCAATTATACCACCAAGGTAAGGAAAAATGTCTTATTGCCCCCAAGAACAGAAAAACTGACCTGCCCAATAACTGCTTCTTCTGGGTTGCCATGTGCGTCTACACCTCCATGCACAAATGAAGAATTCTTATTGTAAAATCTGAAATTTAAAAACCCCAGTTATTACACAATCACATTTATTCAAAATTCAGACTTATGTCTTTCCCCTGCAATCTCCAAGTAGTGGGTATGACAGATTTTACTTACAATGACTACACACAGTAATGGACCTTTGACCTTTCAATCAAAGTTAACTGATCAATCAGAACCAGGAATATGTCAACAAAAACATGCTTTGTCCCACAAATGTACATGTTTACGTACATTTTTACTATTGGTTTGTGGGACCTAAGCAAGAATATCTTAATTGCAGGGCTTACTGTAGCAGAAAGGTCCATTACTGAGGGCTGTTCACTTGGGTTCTAAATGCATGTTAACAGTTCGTATTTTTTTTTTTTAATTCAATATAATTTATACATACATACAAAATGAAATAACATTAAGTCAAGAGACTACAATAAGAAGCAATGAAGCTTTATAACAAAAGATTAAAAAAAAGATACAAAAGGCCAATCAATGTAATATCAAATATGTATGCCAAAACAAATTCATTCATAATTCATTCTTAGACTACTGCGACTCAGATGCAGAGGAATGACCACAGATTAGGGGAAATATTTCTTTATGTTATTAAATCTAAAGAAATCAGTTTTTATAAGAAAAAATATCACTTAATGCCTTCCATTTTTGATTAAAATTATATTGCCTAGGTTCTTTATTATTTTCTAAATAAAAATTTAATTTCGAAGTTGGTCTGCACGATGAACCAATCAGAACAGGGCCAGAAATGTGTGCATCTCACAGACACATATCTTGTCCAACCAACGGACGAGTGGAGCGACTAAGTAACCTGAGAATCTCATTTAATCATTTTTATGGTAAATAAAAACAAGTCAAATCAGATGTAGAGATTTTTATCAAAAAACTCTCAAGCTTAAAAAGCATACTGAGTTAACTGTTATTTACTTCTTGCTTATTCAAATCACAAGTAAATATTTTGTTTGTTACCAAGATTATAGACACTTCACAGTATCAACAATATCATATTTATAAACAACTTTGGGAATGATGGACTGATGTTAAAAAATAAAATTAGCATATTGGTGTATTACTGTAGTATTCTTCTAACAATCTTTGGTCCATATGCTTCCCTAAACCTGCCCCACCTTTTCTCTCCCCTCCCCCCAACCACAATTAGGTCTACCAATTTATATTTTTAGCTGTCCCTATGATAACCACAGTGACCACTGTTGCCTTGCATAGTATTTTTGTTGTTTTCTAGTGTTTGTTGCCTCAAATACTTGTTTATTTTATTTATATACAGTACTAACCAATTTCTGCTTCTAGGTATCTGTAAGTTTCTTCTCTTTATGCACAGCTTTTGTCTTATTTCTTACATTATAGGCAATGCATTACAAGTTTCTTTTACATTTATTATTGTCATTAATAGAAGACATTAATTACAAGTTTTTCAATTTTAACGAAGATTTATTTTATTTTATTATATTAATTCTGGCAAAACAATATAAAACATTACAAATACAAAAAAAAGTCACTAAGAATAATCATCGTTCCTATTAGTTTTAAAATTTATAATAATATAAAATAGACATTCATATCAATCTACAGTATAGTAGTCTACATGTAGAGAAATAACAAATCAATTCCTTATTATTCTTTCTTGGCAAGAATTTAACAGCATAATAATTTGCTAAAAATAGAAGCAATTTTATGCATCTCTGCATATTTGTTCTTATGCTGTATGACCAGATTTTAAATGTTTCAATTGTGCAAGCATTGTCCTTTATAGATTAGGAAACATGACTGGATAAACAAAACCTCATTAAACATCTTACTGTCATCTTGATGACTTTGGCTTAGTTATGTCTGACATTAGAAACAACCACTGATGTTTAGCAGAAGTTTCAAAATACTAACACTAAATTTAGCCAAGGATATCACGGCTTTTGTCTTATTTCTTACATTATAGGCAATGCATTACAAGCTTCTTTTACATTTATTATTGTCATTAATAGAAGACATTAATTACAAGTTTTTCAATTTTAACGAAGATTTATTTTATTTTATTATATTAATTCTGGCAAAACAATATAAACATTACAAATACAAAAAAAAGTCACTAAGAATAATCATCGTTCCTATTAGTTTTAAAATTTATAATAATATTTAATAGACATATTCATATCAATCTACAATATAGTAGTCTACATGTAGAGAAATAACAAATCAATTCCTTATTATTCTTTCTTGGCAAGAATTTAACAGCATAATAATTTGCTAAAAATAGAAGCAATTTTATGCATCTCTGCATATTTGTTCTTATGCTGTATGACCAGATTTTAAATGTTTCAATTGTGCAAGCATTGTCCTTTATAGATTAGGAAACATGACTGGATAAACAAAACCTCATTAAACATCTTACTGTCATCTTGATGACTTTGGCTTAGTCATGTCTGACATTAGAAACAACCACTGATTTTTAGCAGAAGTTTCAAAATACTATCACTAAATTTAGCCAAGGATATTCAACAAATTATGTTGGGATAGCCTCTATTCAATGTACCCATTTGAAAGTCTTGTCTACTATACAGGTAAGTATAGTAAGACGTCAATTTTACCTACTCCTTGGTACCAAGGGGTGTTCGTAAAGTGAAAAATTTGTAAACTAGATTGGGTGTCTGTTTCCAATACCTAGGCCTAGTTATCCCCTGCCATTCATCGCCAATATGCTGACGGCGGCCAGGCTTAGCACAAACCAACAGTCCATGGTCTACAGACATAGGGAAGTGGAAAATGTAGTTTTCAAAATACAATAAACAAATACATCTAAAGCATGGATACGAATGAAATCAATCATATGGAAATTACAAGCATATGATAAAGGCTACTACAAAATCAATTGGACATTTCATGCATAATAATGATCTATTTATTCATATTGAACTCATGAATTGATTTGAAGGTTACCAAAGGGGCTTGCAGTTCATTTTGTTCTACAGTACTGTACCAGTATTATTTATGTGTTTCAAATAGTTAGTTCATTATAATAAAGCAGATACTTTATACAGTATCTAAATTGTTCTCATTAATTTTCAAAATTATATTGCGTTTTAACTGTAGGGCTGAAATGGAAACTTCCTTATATTGCTAGTTACCCTTAATGTATTTCATACCAAATATATTTAATCTAATTCAAAAATATATTGTCAGACAATTATATTTAATAAGCATACATAACATGAATCTACATTATTTTTAATACTTTATTTAGGTGGATAGTGTATGTAAATTATTCACCAACATTCACCAAGAATTAATAGGGAGGAAAGCTCACTAGGCTCAACAATGGACGGCAAGAACCCTTCCTACAGTACCAAACACCCCTGCCTACCAAACACCCCTGCCTACCAAACACCTCACTTCAGAACAACACTTGATCATAGAAGATTCAGACATAATGAAGCACAGCTCCCAATTACACTCAATATTACAATATTTTAAGTACTTCCACAAAAAATACCCTACATACTGTAATCTCGCACTTTTATGTGCAAAAACGATTTCTCAATCAAATAATCACCAAAGAGACATACAGTATTTGTCAATATAAGTGTATAATTTGCTTGTTTTTATACCAGTAACAGAAAATATTGATTTAAAAAATTGTTTTTCTTTCCAAAATTTGAAATTTATGGTTTTAAAAAATGGCTTTAATACATGGCATAATACTTGTGCTTATGTACGAGTTACTAAACTTGTAACTAGAATTTAAGATTAAATAGTTCACATATTCTTGCAAGTAGGGTGCTTCTTATGTTTAAAGGACAATATTAGGAAAGTCCTGAACAAAAAATAATTTATATTTATTTTTAATATAAACTTGTATTTTGTAATTCTACTAGTTATGTTTTATTTAAATATATTTTAAAATATTGTACAATCACAATACAATATACAAAATAGTATGTACTGTACATTGTTTGTACACATAATATTCTCATCTTTGTATTCATGTCACTTTTAACTCTTATGCAGGAAACAATAATTTATAATAGTCATCAATGCAAATAAGTGTCTGATCAAATGCTGTTGTAATGAGATAATAGTTGCCACTAGAAAGAGATTCTCTACCTGCCTGGCTGAAAATGTTATATTTGCACTGTACTTTCCCACTGCAGAGAATAATTCAAACATTACTATATCAACTTATTTCCTTTTATTGTCTACATGTATACTAACTATTTTTGCTATTTCATTTGTCCTTTTAATTTTTTTTTATGAAGAAAGGTAATGTTTCATGGAACATTGTAATTTTTTTGTTAGTATTTATTTCCTCAATGCAACAATATCATATAAATTATAACAATAAATAACATCTCTTAGTTTAATATGAACACATAAATTCTCACTTATAGAAACAAAAACAATGTGATCAATAATTAATTACTTAAAAATAAATTACCCAATTTTATAATGAAATATAATTTTACTTGTTTTATCAATGTTACAAAATTCAGAATATAATTTTTCATTTTTACACGGCAAATACAAAATATAAAAATCGATCAAGTAGTTAACAAGTTTGTATCAGTAAAGTGAAATATTAATGTAATAAGTACTGCAAATTATTGTGTGATTATGACTGTTATTGTGAAAGTCAGATATATACATAGGGCTCAAAGACATGTAAAATTGCAGAGAAATTGACAAAATGTGAGCAGTTACTAGATTTGAAAGTCATAAACGAACCTTTTAACGGCTAACAATATCCAGAACCTTTGATTTTAACTCAGCAGATTAATTAAACATGAATTCTTTTTTTTTTATTTCTTCCAAGAGTAAGTATATGGACACAATATTTATATTTTTTATTTAAAAAAATATGACACATTGGAAGTTTTTTTAAACCTAAAGGCAAAGATGTTTTGAAATTTGCACAAAACATCTCCACAATTTAAATCATACACTAGAGTACACTGCCGCCATTGCACACATTATAAATGATGGCTTTTTAATCACTTTATTGTCTACCAAGTTGTAAAGACTGATTTCCTCTCATTTCTTTTCAAAGCTAGAGTAGAATAAAGCTTGTAATTAACAATAAATATGTTTGTCAAAGAAAGTAATCACTTCATATCCGACTCAAGCATTATTTTAAAGGGTTGATACAAGTTGGACAACTAGTGTTTAAAAGAATACGGTGGCCTCTCAAAAATAAGAGTGATGTGTGTCTGTTTTACAATATGTTTGGACTGGATTGGATTTATTTGGTGTAAACACCAAGGAGAGCCCAGGAAAGTCTCTAGAGACTTGCAATATTTCCAGTGGGGTCCTTAATAATAATATGTCGTTCTTATATAGCGCTTCATGCCTTTACAAGGCTTCTAAGCGCTTCACATTACTACCCCGGTCATTGGATCAAACACATATGGAACACATTGAAACACCAAATTAAATTAGTAAATGAAATTATATTATCATTCCATAAATTGCAGCTAGTAATCAGCGCAGGTTGTGTTGGAACCTACCAGGTACCCACCTTAGATAAAGTGCCTTGCCCAAGGACACAAGCGATTTGCACAGCCAGAGATTCGAACCCCCGACCTCAAGGTTGGGAGTCCAAGCCACAACCGGTGCGCAGTACACCGGGAGACAAACCCCTACTCTTTCCCGAAGAGTGTTCTGCGTTCTTTAACATGCATATGAGCCATAAATGGACATGGGACCAACAGCTTAGACATCTCACCCGAAAGACAGTGCCCTATTGTAACTTGTATTTCAGATTTCAGACCTCCAGCTGAAACACAAGGAGAGGCAGCGATGGGAATTTAACCGGGAACCTAGAGATCGCCACAGTTAAGCGCACACAGTGGCTACCACCATATTAGCCGACTAAGCTAAGTTACTCTCTAAATGAGCATGAAAATAGAAGGAAAGGACTCCATATAATATTGAGGAGCACATCCCATGGGAAATCTCAAAGCTGATCAGCTGGTGAATCAACACTGAGAGGCACTTCCTTATTTTCTCCATGTTCAAGTCTTCTTTAAAGTGGCATCCATCCAGTATGAAAGCATGAATGGTATGTTCCAACATGGTTTGTACACTGGAAGATACACTCAACAGTCCCTTACTATGTTTTTATAATTGATGCAATGCTTACCGTGCAAAAAGACTAACCATTTATAAAAGATGTTTCGATTTTTTATCAAAACATTGCATTTTTATGTCAATCAAGTGGTTTTTATTATAATTATTAACTCTTGAATAGTGCGTAAAACCAGTGTGATGAAAGAGCTTTTATGAAACAAAATATTTAACAACTAGTAGCAATGAAAACAAATAGTACACAAAAAAATTACCTGTGCAAGTAGAATGGCGCTTCATTGAGCAGTGTATAATACTGTCGAACAAATTCACGACCCACGACCTCCGCGCTGTGTGACTGAGGTGGAGGAGAGGGATTATCAGCCATAACCATGACCGCCTGTTGGAGGAGACTAGAAAGAAATGCAAAATGTTCAGATTAAATCACAGTTGGTAATGTCAGGTATTGTCAACATGACCATACACTGCATGTAGTTACTTTCCATCCAATCACTTGATGAGAGCCAATGATGATGCACTTTCAATAAGAATTACAGTAAGATGAAGGTTAGTTTTCATTCATTTATTCATTAAAACATTGCACTAAACAGTGGCGGACCATTAAGGCAAGCAAGGTATACAGTGCATACCCTGGCTAAAACAAATTAAAAAAACTATAAACCTTAATTTAATTAATTTAATTTAATTTTTCGAGTTGATTGCTACTTTTCATTGGAATACCAAAGTTTTTCAATGTTTGGCCTACTTTTGCATCTAGGATAAGTCACAGTCAGGCCTATCGCATCGTACTCTCAGCTGCTTAGAGTTTCTACATGGCTGGTTTTCAATATAAGCCAATCACGTATTCAGTGAGTCAATGGGAGTCGGAACATACCCTACAACGCTTTAATTTGCTATTGTGACAACCGTGTGGTGGCGTCAGAATAGCCAATTTAACACTGAAATTAGGTATCCCAATGAGAAAATTCAATTTCATTATTTTGAATTTTGTAAAAATTAGATCTACAGAACTCACTGCACTGATCATTTTCCAGTTTAAATTATTATAATCCAATACACCGTTCAAGGGTTATGGCCCTTTAAAGATGGTGAAAGGGGGTCCGAATGCGAAAAAGTGGTTCATTTTTCTAGACTGATTTTGGAGCATTTTTGGAGGGCCGTAACTTTGAAAGTAATAATATAAAATGTCTAATTTTCACAAAACCCCAAGATCTTCTGGAGTTTTATGCGTGTATTTTTTTTCTGGGTCATTCTTTAATGTCGTTTTTTGATTTAATGGCCCCAAGTATGGTCGGTTGCTATTTCGTGCCAATTTTTTGCGCGTCTCAAAAATGGAAAAATCTATCTATTTTAAGTCTTTGAAAACGTCATCTCAAAAAATGGTATGTGCTCAGATTATACAGTAAATTTGAGAAAGTAGAAATAAACGTCAGATTCCAATATTATTATTTAAAATATAAATGATAATTTAACTAATATTCGACCAAAGTTTAAGAAAAAATGAAGATGAGAGAAGAGCAGGAAAAGAGACTCCATATATAGCGCAGGCCACGGTACTGTAGGCCTCCGTTGTTCTATGTTGAGCGCTTTTCGTGATCACACTAGGACCAATCTAGGGTCTAGGCTAAAAAGATGCATTAACATTTTATCAGTTCTCTAAAGATCGTAACCTTGAAGGTACATGGACAATAATCATAAACCTACTTAAAATGCTAAGGTAAATTGGTGTTACATATACTGGCCTAAATATTAAGTCGAGTCTGGCACGACGGCTATGTTTATTCACAATCTTATCTCACCAGGATCTACACACGTACAGATAATTCATCTTCTAGCCTACTGTATGTAAGTTCTATTCTAGGTCCTCTTAATCGAAAGACGGATATTTGGTTGAATATTAAAATTTGGGCAAAGAGAGTAAACTTGTCAAATTATAAACAATCTGCTAGTTTTAATTGTATATTTGATCTTGTATCATACAAACTATGCCTGCTCTCTACCTCGCAGTGCAGTGCGACAGCAGCAGAACAGTGCAGCAGTGGGCGAACTGGAACCTGCGTGTACGCGGCAGTGGTGGTGACGCCGCCTCAACAACAGGAGTGCGCATTTTTCATGCTGCTTCTTGTTTTTTCCTTTCTTGGCCTGCCTGTTTTTTAAGGCTTAATTTATCAATTATTTATTTATTTATTTATTTTTATTTATTTTCTATTTGTTTATTTACTTTATTCATTTATTTTTATTTATTTAACTAAAATAAATAAAATAAAAAATATTCTGATTAATATAGGCTCATTAATATAAGATTTAATATAATTTAATTTTTTATAATTCATGGTCCTACCTTTTTTCGGCGCCTTGAGACGATTTTATTGTGGAAGGCGCATTACAAATATCCCACCATTACCATTACCATCCATTTTTGCAGCAGGATATAAATTTGGTTTTAAGTGGCAGTGATTAGTGATTAACACGCGTGTGGTAAGTTAGCTTCACCGAATACACAATGGTGTGGTCTCGGATTTTTTTCAACTGTATTTACTCCTGAATTCACCGTATTTCAAAATGTTTTTTGCTTGATGACCATGCAAAATCTGTTATCAAATGGTAGTTTATCAGATATAAATAAAATCTACAGTAGCTTTAATTTAGTGGTATTTTCGATCGGTTTTGTTAATGAACAATCGCTCAAAACACGAATTTTGTCACTAATTTTGTTTTTTGTGATGGATGAACACATCAATTTTAGACAGTTTACACATCCAAATAAAGCTTGTTTAAAGCCTGATAACATGCAAAAAATCATTCCGCTAGCTTTGACGGTCATCATGCAATCGTGTTTTGAAGTTGGAAAGGGGGGTTTCCCAATGTTTTTTATGCGCACAAATTCGGCTCACCAGGTTTTTCAACACTTTTTAAAATCGCACTTACTCATCAAATACTACATCAATCTTATTCAAAAGCATATGTAAGTAAACACTATAACATGCTTTTTCAAAATATATAAATTTTATTAGCAAAATTCACAATGAGTATAGTATTTTCAACATCAAAGTCAAAATTTTTTTTCTTATTCTAGCATACCATTAATATTCACCTTTGAGTGAACATGTGGGTTTCTCCTGTCCACTGGGTAAATTGTTTTTAGATTTAAGTTGTCATGGTGATAAAGCTTGTCATGACATGAACTTAATTGATAGCAAAATTAAATTCTCTCAAAAAGAAACATACTATACTAATTCAAATGTAAATGGATATTTTAAAGCCTAATTAATAAACATGAAAATTCCTTAATTAAAAACAAAACATACAAACTTGAATCAAGGAGGAAAACAAGCAAATCAAAATTCTAAATTTTTTATTGCATAAGAGCACACTTTAAATAAAATCATGGACACATTCAAGGGGATATGGAAGCCGACCTGACTTCTTCCCTCCCCCTCTCTCAAATTTTTCAAAATATAAAACAAAATGAAAAATAGTAAGGAAAACTGCATTCAGATTTTTAGTTTAGAGTACCATTTCCGGCTATCAAGTGCCATGCCCATCTATCTAGGCATAAAATGTGGTACCTCAGCCCCAACCATAGTGGGGCTGCATCTGTAAAAATTACTTTTTGGGCCTCTTCAATTTTGAATTCCTAGAGGCCTAGATTAGGAAGGTATGTGAAATGCCAGTCAATTCGAGCGAATGACAGTTCGAGCAGATGTCAGTTCTTAAAATGGGGGTGCTGATTGGGGGCACAAAGGTGAAAAGGGGGCTCGATGATCAGTTGAGGGGTGCTAACTTGCAAAAAAAGGTGATTTTTAACTACTTGCAAGTGATTTTTTTTTGGAAGGGGGCACGACTGGGGATGCACGACTGGGGGAGCACAAGTAATTTTTGGAGGGGCGTGCGCACCCCCTAGATACGCCAGTGCCTGGCTCCCTAAGCTTGAGCCTTGGCCGAATGAAAATTGTTAGCTCAAAATAATAATAATTTGTACATAACTCGCGCAGGCTGTTGTCGCACAAGTTTTATAGCAATCCGCTCCAGGTCCTCAGCAAATCCCAGCAAAGAAAATAACAAAGTGAGAAACATTTCATTAAAACAAAAAAACATTTAGGCCTACCTACACACAAAAAGCTGTACTTCTCCAATTTTTTTAAATTTGCGTTTGGTTGTTCCCATTAATTACTGTACGTTCTAGAGAGCATAGGCCTCCTAATTTTACGTATTAGGTAGGCCTAGCTAGCCTTAATCTTATGATGAAAAGGCTTTCCCTCTCATTCATTCAATATACCTCCATGGATCATGGTCATACCTCTTACCTTACTTCATATCGAACGACCAATGAAAATGTGAATGTTTTCCAATCAATTTGAATGTGTACATAGGACATGTCTAGTCTGTACAACTACATAAGAGATAATGTCATGAATGAGAATTTTCTGTATATATTTTTTACGTTTTACATAATACGCCATAAGACAAAGAAACAAATTTCCTTAAGCTAAAAAAATATTCGTCATCGCCGGAAAAAGCATGTCTTTCTCACTGCATGACGATCGTTCACCGTCGTTCAAATGAAATAGGAAGTGAATGGATGGGGGACGACAAATGCGGGGAGCGTTACAAAATTATGTGATACTTAAAAGGTTCTGTCCCAGTAAACTTTATACTGTACACATTCTTACCTTTCCAGAGAAAATTCTACCTCTATAAGTTACGCAGATTCAAATTTTCATCAGAAAATGAGCAAAATCTAAAGGAAAAAAGGTGTTAAAACCTCAGAAGATATCACTTCTTCGTTCAATGGAAAAAATGCGTCGCACATGCATCCATGCGCGCTAGCTATTGAAAATACAGAGGTTACAGCGCATCTTTGCAAACCAGAAGAGAAATCCGACACATATTTAGTAAGCGCAGCCCGCCCTCAATTTTTGCAAATTCGATTTCTTTTATAATACTGTTATACTGAATAATGAAAACATGATTTATTTGTCCAAAAGGAAAACTCATAACAGTTGAAAACAAAACAATTGCAAATTAATACATAAATACAGTTATTCTAAGGTATTGCCATTGCATCGTACAGTATTCTACTGAATTTCATTTCTTTTCATTATATATGGCATCAAAAAATAAAATATATAAAATATTCAGTAGTCATTGACATCATTAAAAAATTAATAAAAACTATCGTCCATGCTGTAGGGGACCTAGCCCTAATTTCTTTATAATTAACTTCTCATATTAAATAAAAACAAGTGAAGAAACGTGCCACCACAGGCTAGCAATCACCTTTACGACTCGCTCCTTTAAATAGAAAAATATATAAATATATAATGCTACATAGAGTATTGTATTAAGAGACAGATACCGTAAACTTCGAATTGAATAGCCTCTTTTCGAGACTACTTTTGCAAAATAAAGAGGGGGCTTCTTTTCAAAATGATGCTGTAAATGTGAATTTGTACTATAAAACAATAAATAAGGCCACTGTAACATCAATCTGTATCATGGGGTGTATTTAACTGGCATTAAATCACCTACTGTATCAAATTACTATATACACCAAGCTTGTATTTAATTTATTTGTTTGCTGAAATTCATGTACAGTGTATGTACTGTACTATCTCGAAAAGAAGCCTGTATCATCTTGAAAAGAAGCCCATGGGTTACTTTTCGACGGGCTTCTTTTCGAGGATAATTTTGCAAACTAAAGAGGGGGCTTCAATTCGAGATGGGCTTAATCTCGAGATTAAGCCTACTGGGCTTAAATTCGATTTTTTACGGTAATATTATTTATTTATTTATTGTAATTAATTTTATTATTATTATTAATTTTATTAATATTAATTATTATGAATATTTCATATATGTAATTGAATTATTCTTAATTATGTTAAGTTCATCTAGAAAACTTCGAATCATACTAATGGGCCGGTGGTCCCATTATATAATTTAGGTTATACATAAAAGTTAGGTTCAGTATTTCACGATTTTTTTATGCTTTAAAACGTGCCAATCTCTTCACGCAACAGAATTTTTCTTAACTTAATAGTCAACCATGTATAATGCATGTATATTTTCAGCTCCGAAACGACTTTCAACGTGTAGGAGGGACAGACTACTTTCAACGTGTAGGAGGGACAGACTAGATTGTTTTACTTTTTCACTGGAATATTTGGAAATGCTGAAGGAGTGAAACTCCTTTATGATAAATGGGCAGAAAAGTGACCTATGACCCATTTACGGACACGGTACTTTTATAGTTACCAACCGTCTCGCGTCTTGCGGGACGATCCTGCATTTAAAAGTTTAGGATGAAAAAACACACATTTTGCAGAAACACATGCGAGATCATAAATTTGTCACGCATTTAGCACACGCATTCAGCACAATATGCGTGATAACCATTTATCACGAATTCAAAAGAAAATGTACTTAAAATTAGAAGAAATTGGTTTCATTAAAAATATAAAAACGGTCATGCAGTAGTTTGAGTCATTCTTAAGCCCCTTAATTCGTTATCTCGTTCGAGAATCAATTCACCGAGAAAATTTCTAGCGCGTGCAGTCTTGCACCTTCATTGTCGCAACCAACCGTTGATGTGACTGGAACCCGGCCCCCATCGGGGTTCCGCAGCAAACATCCTCCCCCCCCCCCACGCACGCTCCCCCTCCCCACTTAACTAGTGTAGTCACGCATTTCAAATCTCTCAGGTTGGTAATTAAATCATAACTTTTGTAGACTGAAAAGTGTATGTTGAGATCAGCTGCTGCCCCGACGCAAAGTCCGAAATTAAATCCAATGTCGACGGTCACGAGAACGGATGTCAGGACATGCGGAGTGAGGGCACTATGTAAATAGCTACCTGCTTAAAAATATTTATTTGCAGTGGGGGTACCTGGGGGAGGGGGAGGGGAGCGTAAGCTCTTGGAACGAGGCGTGCGCTACCACTTTCCCGTATAATACCACACTCTTTAATATTCAATAAAACTCAACAGTACACTTATTATCTTTAATAACTCCTAATCGACTCTTCCAGAAGTCTGTGTTCTTCAGAATGTGATTTGTTTCAATAATGTACTCATATTGTTTAAAAGTAGGCCTAGGCCTACATGACATAATTCCACTGTAGAGCTGGGTTTCTGACATTTCCTAACTACTAATAACTTCTAATTATTTTTTGAAAAGGTAAAGCAAGCTTTGTTCAACAACATCAATGCTTTGGATTTGCAGTAAACAGTGCTTAAAAAAAGCAAGAGAAAAACACATGTAATGATGAAAGAAAAGGCAGAACAAGGACATTTGGCAATAAATGACAGTAATTATTTTTTGAAATTAGGTAAAGCAAGCTGGGTTTAACAATATCGATGCTTTGGATTTGCAGTATAAAGAGTGGTTAGAAAAAGCAAGAGAAAAACACGTGTAATGATGAAAGAAACGGTTGAACAAGGACATTTGGCAATAAATGACAGTAATTATAACATTCCATTATTCTTGTTGTTTCTACCTTAATGCTTGCACATTTACAGAATCTTATTTTATATTAATTTTTGGAGTATTATTTTGAGGAAATTTAAATCATAGTACATTTGTTTTGCTGTTGTTGTTTGTCATGGGAAAGTATCGAAAGTTTTTTTTTTTCTTTTTGCCTTTCCTTCTATTTCATTTCCTTTATCAAGCGTTCAAAAAAATACCATATTACAAAGATGTACCGGTACCTGTAGACAATTTATTTATTATACATATTTAATGTTTAATAAACTGTTAAATAAACTACGGTATTATTGTAATCTATGTGTTTATTTTTTTATTTATTTATTTTTTTTTCTTTTTGGGTTGTTTTAAACACTTAAAACTGATTTAACAGTTAGATTCAACGCAAATTAATGTTCAGGGGCGGATCCAGATATATCCAAAAGAAGAGGGAGTGGTGCCGAATGGTGTGTGTGGGCTGGGGGGGGGGGGGGGGATTGGGGCCGATCCAGTCAACACTACCCTAGGAGGTTCGGAGGCAGGCCCCCCCATTGTTGTATTCTGACTCCCGAAAATAACCTTTGAGGCATTTTGGATGATCAATTAATTCATTTTCTTTCTTTCTTTCTTTTTTCTTTTCTTTAACTTTCCAAAGGGAGAAGGGGGAACCGCCGGCCCGGCCACTCAAGACAGCCCCTGATGTCAGCATTTTTATTAGCTGTCAAAAAAGTATACGCGGTAGAATAAGTAATCTTGATGTTAATGTATAGTTCTAGCCTAGTATGTTGATCGATTAATAACATTGTGTATTTTGATCTGATTCTGAAGATACGATGTGTTGATTTTCTCTGTCGGATTTGGCCATAACAAACTGAATCGAAGTGTCTTAAAATCTTTGTTCATATCCTGGAATGTCAACAGATTTTTTGCTCGTATGAACATGTGATGGTACAGCAATATTATTTATCTATTTGTTTATTGTGTTTACAGTGAAAAGCAGAAAAACCTCATTTCGTTTTCGTCATTATTATAATAGATAAAATGTATTATTTGTTGAAACATATTAAAGCATGTGACTTGTCATAGGATGATTGTCATATAGGATGATCATTTCGACCTTCGACAATCGTTCAATTACGTTGTCGTCCCCATCTTGCTGTCTCCCGCGCAGCATTGAAGTGCGAGTAAAGAAAACTTTTCATGTCTTCCCTGTATGCGTTCATCTGATTGGCTGTTCGAAAAATCAAAACATAACAAAAATGAATTCGACGAATATCGACGTTATAGTGTGACCGCCTCCATAAGCCTACATTTAGCCTACCCAGGTATGACCTGGCTTTTAGATTGTTGAAGAAAAGTGAATCCCCTCAAGTTGTCTTCATATAGTTGCATTTCTCAAACATCATGTGCATTCTGCCTGGGCGTTAGTTATTGAGTATTATTAAGGTCTAATGTGTACAC